CAAAAATCTGTCTCTTTCCAAAAATTCTATCAACTATGATAAATGAAATTTCTTCTTAAATCACATTAATCAAACCACCTTCGTGTTTATTATTATCAACAACAACGACAAAGATTCTAATAAAATCTCGTTTCTTTCCCAAGATCCTACCGAGATATGTGACAAATTAAACTTTCTCTTAAACCTCATCGGATCGTTCGAATCACTTTTAATATTTCATACGATATGTCCTCACTATCACTTGAAATAGCTAGTTGATCACCGAGGAACAGGTCAGTTCCGCGATTTCCGTGTTCTCGCAAGTTTGTTCCGTGTGTCGCGATGGCTAGAGGGGCTGATCTCCCTCGCTCCTCCTCTCTTTCGACTGGTGCACACACACGCGACACACACGCAGGAAGCACGTTATTTTTGTCGGCACGAATACCCGGCACGTAGCCTAGTCCAGAGTCGCTAACCCAGGGAATTCGAGCGCGTCTTCTTCTTCTTCGAGGAGCCTCGCTCCTATCCAGTGTCGCGTCTCTTCGACTGCGATTTCGACCGACGAGCCGCCATCGGCTGACCCATAAAATCGACCAACGAAATCGATCGACGCACTGGAACTTGTATTCCAGGTAACGAGATTGATATGGTTTTGATAACCTGGTGATCGTCTGAGACGAAAATTCGAGTTTTATTTTAACGAAGTGATCCCGAAAGACCAATTTATAATTTTTGTCAGATACTTTGTAGACGTATTTTCGTAGACTGTGTATTTTTTTTTTTTTTTAAATAATCTTTCATTAAGTAAAAAGTGTATTTTATTTACAATTTTTCTATCTTTCTTGTGTAACGTCTCTGATAAAAATTTAATCATTGATAAGCCTAGTGTCACAGATACATAATATTGTAGTATGTGTTCGAAGTTTGTTGGATTATTTTCAAGAAGAACGGAATGTTTGAATTTTAAAAAAGACGCGAGAGCAAAGATTCGATTGTCTAATATTGTAAATGCGTATTAAATTCCGTAGCATACGGAATGATTCGTGCTTTGTTGAATTCTAGAGAAGACTTGCTTATATATATATATATATGTATGTATGTATGTATGTATGCAGAAATTAAAATCGTACAAAAGAGAAAGAAAGTTCTCAGTTTCAAAGTGTACAAAATGTATAATTATTCACAAGAACGAAGATATTTGTGTTGAAAAGGAATTTTTAGAGATTTGATCAAAATTGAACATTTCACATATTACAGATCGTTTTCAGATTTTAAACCAAATCGATCACAGAGAATTACAAAAGTTTGATTTCACTCGGAGAAGTGTTGTTAACGTTTGTTGTCTCTGCAATGGATTATTTAAGTATCTACGAACAATGTGGAACAAGAGACAGCTGTTTGATAAAAATAAATTTGTCTGAGAAAGCACTGTGATTTTTAGACACTGAGTACATACTTGAAAGTTAGTCTACGTGATAACAATTGGACTTGTGTGATAGAAATCCATCCTTGCTAATAAAATTTCGATGAATTAGATGTATTCTTTCTTTTTAAATTATATTATAAAATTAAAAATATTATTAAAAATATTATTAAATTGGTAAAATAAAAATAAAAATATTATTAAATTGGTACAATAAACTAAGATCTAGAAATATTTATGTTTATTACTCAAATTCTTCAGTAAAATCATAAATTTATGAATCGGCCTGATACATTCCAAGATTCTATAATATTTTATCTCTTCGTTCGAAAATCAAATTTCACGCTAAATTCATCTCGACCTACTTTGCCGCAATTCCGGACGTCACTTTGAAAATTACAAATCATTGTTACTGTATTATTGTATCCAAAGTATAAGTCACTTTGTCAATAAATCGCGCGCCAGTGGTCGATTTACCCGGTGCTAGGTGAAACTATTTTTCCTATTTCTGTAGTTCTGATCGCCGACATAATATTTTGTCAGGCCATTTCGAAGGGCTGTCCGATTCATCGGAAACCACGAGATCATCAAACTTAGTCGTCCAGACTTAACTTTTAGCAATCTTTCAGCAAACCGTAAAACTCGGAAATCGTCTAACCAACTTTTCTACGAAGAAA